TGAATTGTAATTTTGTGTTTGTAATTCTGTACATTTTAATTAAGTTTTTGTTATTGTTTATTGTATGTGGTTATTGTTCGGGACGAACAATACTAAGGAGGGACAGTGTTGCGTCATCGAGTCACATGACTACTGTGACGCAACGTTTCTAGAACTATCATGTACTTTGGCGAATGTTCTAGTTCTTACTAGATATAGGGTAGGCTGGTATATAAAAGAGGGGAATGTAATGTGTAGATAGATAGTGAGTAATTGATCTGCAGTGAGAAGTATTATTGAGCACGTTCGTCGTTATAGTTTTTGTTTAGCGCGATTGTTGAAGTTGAGTGTATCGGTAAAGTTGTGTTCGGAAAGAATAAACCAGTTTTTATTAAGAAAGAACTTGTGTCGCTTAAGTTTCGTCGGAACGAAGTTACGGAAAGTTAATTGACAAACGGAGACGTAACACTATAATAGTGAAAAGGCACTGCCTATTGTTGCTATACAACATTCCTTAGAAAGTACTGTATCTTTAAAACTCTATGGTTACTTATAAATTCATTCTCATCTTGGGAAGTTCATCTGAACTAAGTTTTAGCACTTTTTATTTCCTTGTGTTTTGTAAAAACAGCCGCGTTATTTAAATTGATTTACCACTATATTGGTTAACTATGGACTGAGATGAAGTGGATAACATCTTCAAGTTGTCTACTTCTACATTTTTTACTTATAAGTTAAAATTTCGAAAACATACTTTATTGTAATGTATTAAATAACAATGTTACTACCAGGGTACAAAACATTAGGAAACTTAGTAAACACAAGTTAAACAAAATGTGAACTAGTAACTACGTAATTCTTGGCTGTAGCTTTGTAAAGAAATATCTTAATCTCGAAATATAAGCACAAATATTCCAAATATATGCAAGGTTGTTAATATCACAGTATACAAAATAGTAAAAACAATAACAACGAATTAGGGGAATAAATTAATTAGAATTTAAACCAAAATTTACAAAATTATTCAAAACAACAACATCGAAACTTCTCATTTGGGGTTCGATTCCCCGCAGTGGACACAGTTGATAGGTTAATGTGGCTTTGCTTTCAAATAACAACGAACATTTCTTCACAACTAAATCACAAATAACGTCCAAGTGAGTATATACAATAATTTCTCACCTGTCACAGTTTCAACCCTCTTTTATCGTTCTCGTCAAGGCTTCTGATTGCCTTCCTAGACCGCGAAATTACATGTCATACGATTAACTACTCAACATTTGTTTTACATAATTAATCATGAAGGTAACATTCATAGTTCACCGCTGTGGATACCGCGTTTTGGTGTCTTAATAGATAAGTGATTGAGTTAATATTCATTAAGAGACAGGTTATATTTGTATATATATATATATATATATGTTTGTTTGTAATTAAGCAGAAAGCTACACGATGAGCTATCTGCACTGCGCCCACGACAGGTATCGAACCCCTCCCCCCTCTTTTAGCGCTATAAGTCTGCTGAGCTACCATTGTGCCACTGGGGTGCTTGAGGCAAATACTTGGCTGCTTTGTTTTTAGTGCAAAGTTATAAAATGGCTATCTGCGCTCTGTCCACTGCGGGCATTCGAATTCCGAATTGTAGCGTTGTAAGTTCATGATCCTCCCAGATTCGTATCATGATCAAGTGAAGTCCATGAACCTACCGCTAACCCTCTACGATATATATATATATATATATTTATATATATATACTAGCGTATAGCCCGTCAAAGATGACGGGGCAATTACTACCACCCTCACCCCATAGTATACCCTAACCTCACATTTCGTAGCTAACTGAAATAAATAAATTTTGCTAAATCAAGCTTGACCAACAAAGAGGCAGTCAAACGTCGGTAACTTCCTTTGTGAGCCAATCAAAATTAAGATTATTCATGAAATGAATTCCCAGCATATTCATAGAATAATTATTGGTTAAATCAGTTAGATTAACAACTTCTAATATATGGAAAAGACAGTGCGTTTTGGTAAAACAACGTTCCAACAATGGCTATTATGTAATGTTGCTTAGCAACAAAAGTATAACCTAAAAAACCTAATATTGTTGTCAGTGTAGGTACTGAAAGTATAAAATAAAATGTATAGACAATAAAAATGGAAAAATTATTTGTTGATTTCGTAACTTAGAATCTCCATTGATTAAAGAAGTTTTGTTTTTTATTAAAAACGTTGGGGATATAACAGAAAATAGCTTAATTCGGAAACGATTTAATTAAGTTTAAAATTGAATCGATATTTTTACTTTCATAATAAATGTTATGCATTTGGCTCAAGGCTAGGTGATCCCATACCACGTCTTCACTTTAAGCGTGTTATACCAACACTCAATACACTTATAAAGTTTCACGGTACCCCCCCCCCTCCCCTCATGGTCCCCTTGCACACCGGTCACTAAAATCGTAGTGGGCAGACAGTAACCGAACTATTTTATCTGTACAAATGCATTTTGGCTTTTATGACTCCTCCTATTTCGAGAAACCAAGCGTGACACGACACACACTGTTATGTATCTGCTTGTTTGATTGTTTCCGGTAGAATTTCCTCCGAGGATCTTCAGCGATACATGTCCTTTCTTGATTAAACCAGCTTATTCTTCCTCGATACAAACTTTTAATACATAGTAGTTCCACAATCAGTATGTTCGATGACGAGGAACCCACTTTGAGACTAATAATGGTTGGAGACAGTTTGAATGGGTAATGAAAAAAAACTTTAATATAAGTTACAT